AATTAGTTCTCAAAGTAGAACTAGCTTCAGAGATTTGATGCTGGAACTTCTAGGAAATAAAACTTCTGGGTAGACTAATAACTATAATAAGATACCTGCTAATAAGAAGTGTGTTATTAAAAATAGTGTTAACAGAATAATGTCAAGGAAATGGGTTATAAAATATGGGCCGTGGGTGACTTGAAGAATGCATAATTTTAAGGAGATGATGCCAGGTTGGAAATTGGTAAAACCTATGAGAAAGGCAAAAATCTAAAAGATTCTAGTGAAGCAGTAAGAAATTTTTTACCTATCAAAAATATGAATAGCAACTCAAGCTTGAAATCCGTTGGAGTCAAGATCTATGCCATAACCAAAAACCAGTAAGTCTCTAATCTAATCTTGAAATCTCTACTCACCTAGGAAAATATTCTTCCTTTTTTGATCTGTAAAAATTACTATAATCTTGAAAAAGTATTATAGTATTTCTGCAACCTGAAGAAGATAATTTATTATTAGCTGATCTCCTAAAGCCGTAAAAATAGGTAGATAAATAGAGAAATTAACTAAACCCATGATGTTTATTTTTTAGAGTAGGTTTAAGTAGAAATGAAATAATTTTTAAAATATTATATTTGAGTAGATTCTGTATCCTAGACCTATTTAGTATGTTTGAGGCATTAAAAAGAATCCAAATTTTAAATTGTAATTGCACTATCAATTAATTAAGCAATGTTATTTTATAGTCAATACTGTTTAAAAAGTTGGTTTTCAAAGTTTTATTAGTGCAGTTAAATTAACTTAGCACTAAATAAAGTATAAATAGTACTCTGTATTTCTTGCCATACACCAAAACACCTCATTATGAAATCATCTACTTCAGAAATGTTAACACCTATTTCAAGAAATCATTTTAACAAGAAATGAGGTAATCCATATGGTGCATTTGGTCTTCTCTGAAGAGCAAGTTAAGGAATGGAAGATTGGCAAGAGGCTTCTCTATGGGTAATTTCATCATTGATATATGTCTATTCAATAGATGTGATCCAGACTGTAAATCTATAAATGACCAGCCCACCCACCATGGAGACTGAATAGTGGTCCCTTCTGGGGTCCACTTCAGGGATGGTGATGACTGGGAAGGGGTATGAGAGGAATTTCCAGGTGATAGAAATGTTTTATGTCTTGATAGGAGTGTCGGTTATACAGGCTGATGCATTTTCAAAACTCATCAAATTAGATACTTAAGATTATGCATTTTGCTATATATCAGTGGGAAAAAAATGAAAACAAATATTAAACTCCAGTTGGTAAGTTTGCTTTACACAGTGGTATGGGTTCACAATTTTCAATCTACTTTTCCATTCTAAGCGTGAGCAAATCCATAGATATTTTGTGGACAGCACAAATAAGATAAGAGCTACAAATATGGAAGGAAAAAAGACTAGGATGTACTCTATGGTATATTATATGAATTAGAGCTATCCTTATGAGTTCATATTTGTATGTACAGAACTATGTCCATTGAGAGGGTCTAGAAGCAGGACACACCAGCAGCTGCAAGGGGCATGGAAGATTTTGTTTTTCAAAATGTAAAAGGAACTAAAATAGCTAAATGGATTTGGGGTTTCTTATAGAAAGCTTGATTTCAGGGCAAAGGCAGGGAAAGCACAAGATGAACCTGGAACATCTTATTTTGCCAGAAAGTAAAAATGTTCTCAAAGAATGGGGATATATCAAGACCAACAAGGGAGAAAGCTTGAAGGGTTTCCCCAAATATAAGGATTGTCTATAAAATAACTTGCTTGTATTAAGAAAAATAACAAAAACAAGAAAGAAAGCCTGAGAAAGACAAAGACAGTAAGGCTGATGGAAAGGCTATTCTAGATTAAAGATGAAAGAAGCATAGCAAATAAATGCAGTGCATTATCCTAAATTGGTTCTCAGGTGGAAAACATACAAACAAACTACAAATGTTATAAAGGGCATATTTAGGACAATTGACAAAAGTGAATACATACTGTATTAGATAATTAGATTAGATAATTGTATTGACTTAATGTTAAATTTCCATGATTTTCTGTGATTATGTAGGAAAATATCCTTGTTCTTAGTAAAAATAAAAAACAGGGTAAAGAGGCACAATGTCTAACCTGCTATCAAATGATTCAGAAAATAAATATTTCTCCAAATTGGAGGGAATTAAAGAATGATAAGAAAGTTTTCATAGCATAAAATGTAAACAACTGGTGAATCTCGGTGAAGGTACACAGGAATTCTCTGTACTGTTATTTGCACTTTCTGTGCATGTTTGAAATTATATCAATATAAAAAGTTTAGAAAATAAATGTGCTGAATGTCTCGTGGGTAAGACTTAGAGTCTTCTTTCACAGACCTTTCCTGAGCAGGAAACAATAAAAATTTTATTGCACATTTCTATAATTCACAGTACGCAAAAGCATTGCAGCATCTTAACTTTGTCCTGACAATCACCCTAGGAGGTAGATATCCTGTGGACACCCTACAGATGAGGATCCTGAAACCCACAGATACTAAGTCACACAAAGTCAGTAGCATAAGTTGGATCAAAATATTCTCTGGTTTGAAGTCAACCTTGTCTTTAAATCACAGCAAATATTTCTTAAAACTTCACAAATATCTCCTTTAAGGTTGGAAAAGAAGACAAGTCAGTAGTAGAGAAACAGAACAGGCACAGGGAAGTTTAGTGACATCCAGGAATACTGAGGCTGAGGGGTGGGAAAGAGAGTGTGGACAATCTGAATGCAGACAGCGAACTGTCCGATTAGACCATTTAACTTCCCACAGGTGAAAACTCCTCGAGCAGATTTACTTTGGGGTCAGGTCATTTGTGTAGTATGGTGTCAATAAGTTTCTTGATCTGAGTTCTTCTTTTTATTAGGAAATTAAGCTTTTTACTGTATAAGTAGAGTTTTAAAAAGACAAATAAGACTCAGTATTAGCATACTGGTAAGAATATTTTTTGGATAAAACTATTTGAAATAATATCAGAAACTTTCTTGGTTAGAGACATAAAGAAAAAAGTAAGAAAGCTCCTGGTAACCGGAAAAATAAGAACTAATACCACTGAGTGGCTAAGGAGAGTAAAATGCAAGGTTGGTGAGCAAACGTTTTTCATCACAATTCTGTTACAGCTTATGTTTGTTTGCTTTTGTTCGAACTGAAACTGTGTGAAAAGACATTTTATGTCCTATATGACTGAACATGTGTTTATATTAGACGAAACTGCTTTTCTATTTCCCTCATATATTTATGGTTTGAAAAGATGTTATTGGTATAATTGACCTATAGTAAGTACATCTGTAAGGTAGCTAATTGAAAGAAGTCACTACTATCACTACAAGCCTGGTTGACTTTTAGAAAGCATATGTTCTGCAAGAACGTCAAATGGACGAATTTACAAAATCTGAGGTTAATACAGGAGGTGGCTGTCTTACTAAGACCTACCTATGATGCAGCAGGAAACACTGAATTTCTAGCTAAAGATACCTTTTACTTGTAACACAGTTAGGATATAGGTTACCCATCTGTGGCACACCTAAGGCATAGAGTATGTATAGGTAAAGGTTGAAGTCATGTTTAGCAGGGGGTGGGAAAGTTGGCTGCTGTAGACATTTGTTATGATATGGCTGAAAACAGATTAAAATATAATTATCAAGAGGCAGCAAAGTTAAGAAGGTGTAGTTTAGATATGGAAGAGGCTATAGTTTAGTCACCCAGATACGGGGTGTAATGCACAGACTCAGACAGCTTTAGATGTAGATGGGCAGTGCCTTGGACTGTCCTTCTGGAGCGCAGGTAATTGGCCAAGCTGGGATGTAGCTGAGGGTCCTCATTTCCAGGTTCCCAGCCTTACGAGTTTGAGTTTACTCTCACTCTTGTATGATGGGTATTTCTGCGTAGGCTCAATCCTTTAATACTCCTTCTCCCTGGCCCTCCCTATCTCCCAAATAATTTTGACAGCCTCCTGTAGCTGATAGTCTGTCTCCATCCATCCAAGACCTTTCAATGCCTGTGTTTGTACGGAGTTAGTCTTTTATCCTGATTAACTAAGGCTGCATCCTCCATTCTGAGCACACACACTTCTCTCAGAGATTCTGAACTCTAGAGGCTCATTCTAATCCTCACAGGTAAGGTCATTCCCTGGAAGTCTCTTGGGGCAGGAAATCACCCTTGTCAGGGCTTATGAATCTTTAGGAGGAAGTTACGTTTTTTTCTAACTTAATTCAGAAGGGTTGGAGTACAATTACCTAAAGAGGTGCCCTCTTTCAGGCAGAAGAAGAAATTCACATGTTCTTGGGCCCAGGAATATTGATGTTTATTTCCAGGCCCTTCCACCCACTCTCTTTTCTCCTGTGACACTGCTTTAAGAATGGCTGCTCTAGAGGGAGAAGATAAATTCTAAAATTCAGCATGTATTTTGTCATATCAAAAAAAGAATTCGACATGGTTGATATTAGTTCTAAGTTTTAGTTACAGTTAGCATCAAAACAGATCTGACTTGAGAACTAAGGAAACATTTTTATGCTAATTCAGAGCAAAGCGCTTACACGTGAATTTCAAAGGGCACACTTTTTAATTTGTAACTTGAAGGCTATCTATACATGCTTTTTTTTGACATTGACACTTTGCTGACAATAAGTATTGTCCTAATTGGCTGATAACCAGCAAAATTTATATAGTGAAAACTAATTTTATACCTTAAAAAATGCTTACCTTGTAAATAGGTGGAAATTTCAATTTTTATGTATGTATGAACCATAATACTTGATCCAAGGGTCTAATGAAGAATAAATTTTAATTATACTTTCTCTATTTTTATACATGACTTTAATGGGAAAATGATTGGAAAGTTTATAATGTTATAAACAGCAGGAACATTTTCCTGCTGGGAGGGTTTGGGGAGGCTGCCTGAAATGGGATGCCTAGTGTCTGCTGGGGTCACCTCGTTGGGGAAGGGCCAGCTGTGATATCGCACTCACCCATACACGCAGTGGGCGGCCGACACCAGCCAGTCCCTGCTGACCAGAGAAGCCCCACAGAGCAGCCGGTCGTTATAATACACAGCAACGATCCAAGGCCAGGCTCCTTCTCGGGAATTATTTCCTCCAACGATCTTTGGGCTAACTTCTTGAGCCACCAGTTTTTTTCCACACGCTGTTAAGATCATTGAAGAAAGAACTTGTAGTTAATTTTGGTGGATTTCCTCTGGTCATGAAAATTGAGTGGATCACTGCAAAATAACTTTAGGTGACATAGTGACTCTAAACAGAATGATTGTGATGACTGAATAGGAAAAACTGATGCCATTGCTACTGCCACCATCTTCAGTAAAGCCTAAAGACGGTCTTCATAATGTATGGAGATTCCTCACTGATGTGTTGCAATGGACACTCCCTGTAGATCACAACAACAGGATGAGAAGACTCAAGTTTCAAAGTGACCTACAGGGTGATATTGGAGAGAACTGTATCCAGGCATATTGACTGTTTTCATTGTTGCCATTGGAGTAAATCTCAGGAGCTTGAATGATGGAGGTATTATTACACAGAGAAGCTCAGGATGGTGTAATTTCAAGGCTTCATTACAGTACTCCCATAAGTATTAAGTGCACATTTTTAAAATTTTCGCATATCACAGGGAAATTTAAAATTGACTCATAAAAAAATCATCTTTTTCAAGATTTCAAAAGACATGGAAATTCGTGAAGTATAATATCTTCTTAAATGCCTTTTTAAAATTCTGCCGCCTCTGTCTGTGTTATCTACTATTAATGAAATTTTGTGCACATCCTTTTGGGTGTATGGATAAATTTTAAAAAAGAAATAAACAGAATTTTAAACTGAAGGCTTGAAGGAGAACAGGAGGAAATATTTACTTACATTTATGGTTACATTGTAACAGAATCAGTGAATCCTCTAAGCACTGTTTACTGTAATAGAAGAACAACTGTATTTCAAAAATGGTGCACACAACATTTTAAAGCAAAACATAGTGTAAGTTGTCCTATTTTTTCTCTTTAGTAAAATGGACCTTTAAATGTGTCATACATAAAATGCATAGCAGAAAATCCTCAAAGTCAAATAAAGCTGAGTTCGTATCTTTAACTCTACTGCTTATTCTTCATGTGATTTTGGATAAGTTGCTCAATATCCCCAAGACTCAGTTTTAACATTCATAAAACAGGGGCAATAGTACTTTATTGGAGTTTTGTGAGATGTAAATAAATATTTGCAATGGAATTATTATTGTGTGTTATACACAATGAATACCTGATGAACGGTAGCTTCTGTTAGTTTCTGTGAACCAACCGTGGATTTCACCGTTCTATGATACAGAATATGCTTCACTATTGCTAACGACGGCCTATTCAGGGCCCCAAACTCTGTGTGAGGCTGTATACTTTATTCAGGGAATTCAATGATGAATGAATCATGAGTCCTGCTTTCAAGGGAGGCAGACATGTAAATATAAAATAAAGTGCAGGCATAAATAATTAAAAACTCACTACCCATTTAAATATTTGGATACCAACTTTTTTCAAAGCCAAGAATTCTAAAGAAAAATTAAAACAAAGAAAAAATTTTAAATGTTATACTTACTAACCACTAGAGGTCAGTATAACACAAGGAATTAAAGTACTTGCCCACACCTTTCCCTGATGGCAGCTACTGTAGCTATCGTTTGCCTTAAAACACACAAGTACACACAGATAATTTTAATGGTTTCTATTTACATATTTAACAACACCTACTGTGCATGTTTTTTAGGTGCTTGAAATTTTAGGGAAGAACAAGTCTAAAAACATAAAACATGGCCCAAGATGCATATGAGATCATTAAGTACAACAAAACAATTCAGTGTGTCTGGAACATACATGATAAGGATTACTTGAAATTACATGCATTCATGTTGTCTGAAAAATCCCCTAGAGCAGACATAGCCAATTGAAATATAAGTAAATATACATTTTATTGATAAGCAATGTGCATGCAGGTCTATCTATCTAGATATAGATAAATCAATATGCATTCATAATTCCCCAAAGAAGAAGTCTCAGTTAATGCTTCTTCTGTTATCCACCCATGGTTAGGAGAGAAGTCGTTTTTAGGATGTACCCCAGCATACTGTTAAGTTTCATTCAAACTTTCTACATCTACAATATCCATCAATGAAAACTCATATTCAAAATGGTTCATCATTTTTAGGTGTTAAACAATATTTAAGACTCTGTGGTCTGTGAAAAATGGATGAATATCTTTTCAGCAAGCACAGAAAAGTTTTTGGTTAACTTAATGGTTACCAGAGAATTAAACTGAGCTTAACACCTCATTCTTCAAGTGTTTTGGTTAATCAAATTTTCATACACAAACACACACGTAGGGTCTCAGTATACAGCAGTAAGTTGCTTCACTTATGGTCAGAGTGAGCAGTAAGTACATTTGTCCAGGTACGTTATAGAGATTAGAGGAAAATAGAATAACTTTCCTGGCCTTCAGTCCTGGAGTCAGAATTAGGTCAGCCCTCTGTATGGGAAAAAAGTCAATGCCATGATCCTGTGTCTTGCTTTCATCCCAGAGGGACAATATTGGGATACAAATGGATGGGTTTATATCTACTGTGTTGACAAAATGAACTGATTTCTCTCCCTATATATGCCCAACAAGTGGCCTTTTTTCTTTCTTTTTCCTTTCCAGAACTGTTATTTAAAGTGATATGCTGCCTTGGAGAGTTCAGAGGTAGCACAGTAGAATGGCAAGTGGAGGGCTTTGAAGCCAGATAAACCTGGGTTAGAATCTCATGTTGCCTCCAGGTTTGTGAACGAGTCCAGGTCACTTAACAACACCAGGCTTTTCTCCTCATCCTTACAGTGGAGCCATGCTACTTAAGTCAAAGAGACTAGAAATAACCTCTGTAACATTGCAATGTTTCTGCCACAGCATCTGTCACAGGACAGGCATTCAATAAACTGTTGATAAGCACTCTATATCCTGTACCTAGCACCATGCTTAGAACACATTGTCAATCAATATATATTAAGTCAAATTTTTTTTTTTGTTGTTATGTAGGACTACTAGACAAAAAAATGGAAGAAAGGGAAACCCAATACTGGCAGCAGCATGAATTGTACATTTCCAGTTATATCAGGTCAGACTGCTGGTACCTTGTTGAATGACCTTCTCTCAGTGGTGGGAAAATAGTAGTCTAGTCATGCATATGCCTCATAATAGGAGAAAAAAATGGGGATCTAAGTCGATCTTCATAGTTGGAAGAATCATCTTCTTTGATATCTTCTTCCTTTCCTAATTTTTTTATTATGACCACTAGTGAAAGGGTGTTTTCAAAAACACCAGATTTCATGGGGCAATAAATGTATTTCTGCAATAAATAAACAAATACATACATACATACATAGATACTAAGTGCATATATGTCTGATTCCCTGTCAACCCAGTATAAGGTGGCTAATTAAGGAAGAGATTAAGAATGTTCTGGATTATTGATGTGATGAAAGTTTCAAGTATCTTTGTGTGTAAATGGTGTCTCTTTCAAATAACATGAACATACATACAATAAAGACATCAATGTATAAAGATACTGGCATTTTGTTGATAAGCATGGAATAAACTAGTTCTTATTTTAAATATGCATATAATTAATATAAAATATTCTGTACTTTTTCCTTTTTTTCTAACTGATTCTTAAATGTCTATAAAATATAAATAAGAGACATTCTCAGCATACACACTGTTCAAGATCTATAATGATAATGCAAATTTAGACATGCTTTATAGAAAGGAAATCTAGTAGGCTGCTTTCTCACTTGCAGATGGTTTGCTTCACCCTTGATGAGACTAATAATATCAGTCAAGGCCCTGCAAATATTCATATAAAATATTCAACTGCAAAGTACTTTGGTACTAAAACTACTCCTTTAACAATCTGTTTTACTGGTTGAGCTCACAGACATGGCAACTTTTCATGAAGAGCTGAGTAATTATATAATTTCACTTTTCACCATTAAGTGTATTAAACAAAGAACTTCAAGCTAATGCACAAGCAATGATATCTTAAATCCTTGTCTGTTGTTACAGCTTCTTCTTGAAGTTACTATCTTCCCATCCAAGCTGGTCTTTAATGGAACTGTAAAATTCAGAAGCCAATTTCAACCGAAGTTATCATTAATTCCCAAACAGAAGAAATGACATAATCTAAGCTAAAACAGATCTTTGAATACAGGAAGGATGCTGCTTTTTAAAACATGAGTAAAAGCTGTAAAAGTGAACCTGATTGTAAAGAGCAAAGGAGAAAATGTAGACACAACTTAAAGTCTGTACTCTTTCACTTAACAACCATGTTCTATTTGCTAGAGAAAAGAATACCATGACTTTTTTATCCCTTTCTTCTCTTTTGATGATAACTAATTGTGTCACTCTTTTTAGTCTGATCAACATTGGACCTATTTATTCCAACTCTCACAATTTCTTTGTATGGGGTTTACTTGTTTATAAATCCAAGATTATGGATAAAAAGAATGTGGGAGTAAAACTTATTGAATCTCTATCAGTGTGCTCTCTAATTACACTGTAATACTTCATTTGACCCTGTTACCATATGTATATGAGGATTAGGCAATGTTATCAGATAGGATCGATTAGATCGATTAGATACTGTTTGAGATTACCTGAATAACAAAAAAATTAAATAACTTTCAAGATTATGTGGCATATATGGTGGTATTAAAATCTGACTGACTTCAAAATCCACCTTCTTTCCTGTCCATGTACAACTAGTCAAAGAACACATTTTGAGACCCACCTTGGTGTTAGTATTAAGCTGCCATTAGGTGTTGTGTTTAGTTGTACAAACGGTCCATGTCCAGTAGAAAAGATTGGCATGGATGAGTTTCCACTCCTAGGGAAAAGCACGCAGACAAAACAAAAACACAAACAAAAAAGTCATAAACGAAACTTCTAGTTATTTAATGCTGTGGACATTGAAATAAATTATGAAATTTCAGGCAAAGAGATTAACACTTTAATATTAAGCTTCAAATGTTTTGATGTCTAAAAGATGGTACAACTCAGTAGAAGAATTACTCATAATGACATGAAATGTAATTTTAATTTTTGCATAATACCTCTTGTTCTTGTTTGCCTGCTCATATATGTTATTTAACAGAGTTAAAATCAGTGCATATGTCATTTGAGTGTCTGATTTGTTTCATTTGACTTTTCTATGTTGTCCAACAATTTCTATAATGATCAATTATAATGACAACTTCAAAGAGTTGCCGCAACATAATTTATTAACCTTTTTTTCCTGTTGAGTGTAATTCATCTTTTAAAAAAATGCACGTTGTCTAAGAACAACATAGAAAAAGGAGATCCTCAGTGTTTACTTTTGTTGCTTTGTTCTTGATATTTCATTCAATTCAAAGCCTAACAGCCCTAATTTAAAATAGGAAGCTATGTTTTTGCTCTAAAAGAGGGAGTATGCAGCCTGTACCTCCAAGTGTCAAATGGTGAACCAGAATGGGATAAAAAGACACCTCCATGTGACAAAAGACATTAAGTTACTGGTCTTTCTTATCCCTGAAAACCTGTTACAGTTCTCAACTGTGAACCTTCACTGAAGATTTCTTTTAATTATCCACTCTTCCCTAGGCTTAGCTGGAAACTTTTAGCTTCTCACTTTCTAATCTTTTTCTTGCCTTTTATTTATTCCAGATTTTAATCTTCATATAAAAATATGCCTTTAGGCTGGAAACATCCTGATTCCTGCTATCTTCTCTGGGCTGGCAGGGAGATGATGTGGTTCCTATCTTTTAGAGTATCTTGAAGGACCCATCCACTCCCTCTTCAAAAGAAGGTCCAGTGTTTTTTCCAGGCTATAGTCAACGCTGACCCTTTTCTGTCTGTGTGCATAGAGGAAGTTTCCAAGGAACACTCATGGCTGTTATGATCAGTAAGAGGAAAAGAATGAAGTAGAGGGTGTTTCCTTTCTCTTTCCGGTAAGACAACACCTTAAAGAAACTGAAAGTGTCTGATACCTTTCATTCACTGAACAGAGAACTGGAACAATGGAGCTTGTATTTAATGTCCCAGAATTTATCATCTTGCACTTTCATTTTATAAACAGATAAATGTTAACTCAAGCACACAAATCAATCACCATTCCTTTAATAAAACCTGAAATGGATTTACCAAAGGGAAAATGAGTGTTGCTACTATTATTGCTAAAGATTAAGATATTCCTTCCATGTGGGAAGAAGAATCATCTTATTTAAGGACTTATATAAAATATATTTTTTTTATAGGTCAGAAAACAAAACAGGCATAAAGACATGCAAAAAAAAAGGAAAACACTAATCTGAAAAGATACATGCACCCCAAAGTTCATAGCAGCATTATTTACAATAGCCAAGATATGGAAGCAACCTATGTGCCCATCGACAGATGAATGGATAAATAAGATGTGGTACACACACACACACACACACACACACACTGGAATATTATTCAGCCATAAAAAGAATGGAATCTTGTCATTTATGACAAAATGGATGGACCTGGAGGGTATTATGCTAAGCAAAATAAGTCAGACAGAGAAAGACAAATACTGGATGTTTTCTAAAAAACAAAACAAGTGAACAAATATAACAAAGTAGAAACAGACTCACAGATACAAAGAACAAACAGGGGTTTGTTCACAGATACAAAGAACAAACAGGGGTTGCCAGAGGGGAAATGGGTGGAAGGAGGGACAAAGAGGTAGATTAAGAGGTAGAAACTTCCTATTAATCTGTCTCATATCAATTTAATTTAGACCAGCCAGAAGAAGCTATAGAAGGGTAGAGGAAAATTTCTTCCTCCCTGACAGTGTGTAATCTATAAAAATATCCAATATGTTGTACACCTGAAATTAATATAATATTGTAAGTTAACTATACTTCAGTTTAAAAAAAAAAGATCTCAAATGGCAGCAGAGGGTATAGAAGATCAGGAATGCTCTAGATCAGGAAGGACTTTACCACTGCAGGAATCTTTTAGTTAAGGACTCACACATTTAGGGAAGACAGGATGTGGATCAAAAGAGATTTTAGATGACTGAATTTTACCGTCGGTACAGCTTCTGGTACAATTCATCAAGACTAATCTTGACTTTTAAGAATATCAGGGAATGTCTATCCAATCTGAAGAGGCTCTAGTTGTGTTGACTTTACATGAAGGCTCCAGAAACATCATTGGAATTGGTTGATTAGTGTACCTCTTCACTGGGAGGGACAAGTTGGTGGATCCTAGTTACTCTCCAATCTCCCTTTTAGATGTCTGTCTTCTTTTACCACTTTTGGTTCATGTTCTCAGTATCCTTATTCTGCTGAATGCCTATGTGTGTGTATATTCTTCTAGGTAGTTTTCTATGTTCCCGACTCTCCATGATGAAAGATTTTCCAGGTGTGTAATCCAGATAAGCAACATTAGCCTCACCAGGGGCTAGTTACAAATCGTCCAGCTCTATCCCAGATCCACCCACAATTTTGAAACTCTGGGGGTGAGATCCAGTGATGAGTCTTTTAACAAACCTTCCAGGTGATTCTGACGCTTCCTAGTCGCAAACCATAGTCAAATGAAATATCTAATTCTTTACTTGTTCAGGAGGCTGCTCGTTGGTTTCCAAAGTGACTTCTAGTTACCTATAGTAATCTTACTATAAGCAATCTGTTTAAGCCACTGATAAAGTTAATTCATATATCAGGACCCACAAAATGGTGGTCACCCAGGGGCCTGGCCCACATCACAAATCTAAACCTAAGTCAGCCTACACTTACAGGAAGTGTTTCACTTCCTGAAATATAGAAAGAAAATGTAACACCAGTCACAATCTTCCAACTCATGTTTAGCTAGCTCACCTTACCCTAGAAAATGGGACCTGGTAGCCTATATGCCTATAAGGAAATCCCTGACCTTCATTGCCTCTTCTAATGTTCCATAAAACTCACTGTTGCCCCAAATCCCTCAGGAATAGTGCTCCACCGCTTGTGAGGCACTGTACCCCCAATCTATGGGCTGTTTACTCTTGAATAAAGGACGTCAAACTCGTTATTAAATTGTTTTAGTTTTGTCATTTGACAGCACTCATGACTACGTGGGGGGACATCTAGAAGAGTAATTCATTAAAAATATACATCAGAGTTGTGGATTTAAGCCTTCTATTATCTCTAGCTGTTTTTATTAGCTCTAGCTGTTATTATCTCTAGCTGTCTATTGCTTAGCTGTCTTTTTAAAGACAGATCCTGAGGGGATGCATTAATTTCTCTGGAAACTCAAAACAAAATTAAATTGAAAAAATATTGAAAAATTATTTATAAATCAGTTTTTAATCTAGTATCTCTTTATTACACACCTACCACTGGCATTGCACTGATAGGATTGGCAGTTAAATTTTTAACACATGCCTATTCTAGAAGAAAGACTAGAGGCAAATCTTTAAGAATAGACTATTTAGTAAACACTAAATGTGCTACCCTGGGATTCTGAAGTGCTGTTCCATAGTGATGTTTTCACGATCTGGTGGAGAAAAATAGAGATTATGTATACACGTGGAAAAAATGACACACATAAAGCTTGTATTCTAAGATCGTGTTCTATATATGCAGCCTCAAACTTTATATGAGAAAAGACGGCAGTTAATGGTGTAGATATATTGTTTGGGGTTATTCAGAACAACTGGAAAAAACATTCTTTTGGAAAAAACTTCTGAAGTACTCCCATAATTAAATTTTTTGTTGTAAATATTGGTATCAGCAACCTAAGAGTGGTGTATAGAGGCCATCAGTTCATACAAATATTTCCAGGTGTCAGTGCTGGATGTTAAAAGTTGGAATTTAATTAGAGACAGAGTAACTGCATTTCAAATCCTTCCAAATCAAGCTCACCTTTTTCAGACTGAACACAATTTATTCCAGTTTGTATTCATAGTAAGCAGAATATAAGCAGCAGAAGTTTACGACAAACTATTTCTTATTTTAAGAAATGATGGAGACAATAAAGATATATTCAATATTTAAAATATTCTTGGCAAAATAAAAGGTTAGCAACAATATATTAAGTCACCATTTATTATTTAGAAACAAAATCTCAGAACTGAAAAATTGAACTGTTGAGAATATATTCAAGGGATGATAGTTTTCTCCTGTCCTTATCTGTTTCTATTTTAGAATATAGAAGCCTCCCTCCCCCTCCCCAAACAACAGGATTTAAGGGAATGGTGAAGATATTTTGGTTTGGGGAAAACCATAATATCTTGCTGTTTTTATGTAACAAACTTTACGTGGAAAAAAGTCTTTGAGTAAAAAACAAAAACAAACAAATAAAATCCCTAACTCTGTTAACAGACTTTTATAGACTAAACAACTATGTTGCAGAAAATTTATTGGTAGATGATTCACAACTGACCAAAAGAGATTTTCTTAACCTTTATGTGTATAATTATATTCTCAGTAAATTCCTTGCCACATAAATCTCTCTGGGTTACAAAATACCCGTTTGAGTGTAAGTCAAAATAAAAGTTAAAGACAAAGAGATTTCTCCTTAAATTGTATTAATAAAAATAAGTGACATTTCACATAAAAGAGTACCTTAATTCCCAATAATATGTTTTCAAATACTTAGTGGGATAAATCAGGAATGATTTTTTTCCAAGCAAGCAATAATACCAACCTGTGTTTGTTGAAAACTTAGCCATGATTTTTTTTTTTCCCTTTTAATTATGTCCTACTTATAGTGGTCTTTTTAAACTCTCTAATTTTGTTTTGATCTGCTGGGGGAAAAAGTTTTCCAGAGAAGTTAAAATAGGCTAGTGTTGGAATGACAAGCTGAGGAATCCCCTGGATTAAGTCAGAGATGACCCTC